GAATATCTGACAATTTCCCCTTCAATATTTTAATAGGAGACAAATAAGAGTCAATAGATAAAAGCTTAACAAAATCATTCAAGATTTTGCAGACTGATCGTATGGCCGTGGAAGTCAGCAAAATGATCCCTAGCAACCTCAGGGGATTGTGATGGATGCTGTTAAAGAAAGATACTATTCTCATCAGTTTATATCCTGTTGACTAGAATATATAGCCAACCTGGCTTTGTGACTGTTGTGCATAGTTATAATCACTTCTTGGCAAGCCTGGTCCAGGGTAATTGTCAAATTGAGAATAGCAAGTATAGCACAGTACTTCATTGTGTAGATCTCTGACTGATCATAATGAGTACTGACAGTTCCTCGTGTTCTATTGGCAGACAACATATAGATAAAGTTTATGCTGTCTAGTTATTTAGTCTTTCTATAGGAAGACATGGGTTAGGCAATCAATGAAAAAGGGATGTGTAAATATATTTACTAGTCTGTAAAAGATCAAGTACTAAACATATTTTGGAAAATATACAGTCTGAGACCTGTGGACCATCAAATCAATATCTAGGGTTTGGCAGTGGCATGTACCAGATGCTAAAACTAGACAAAACTTGAAATTTCTGGTTCACATGAAATTATGACACTTTGAAATTTGTTTTCAGTCTGAATTGCAATAAAATTTCAGAGTTCTCCAAAATGAAAGTTTCCAAACTCAAAACAAGGTAGTATTGTCTCCTGGTTTCTGGCCAGGTTCTCTTTAATCTCTTACGCATTTTGTCCTGTATTTTGCCACGCTGAACTTAATACATACACAAAATGTAAGTGTATAAGAGGAGGTCAAGTTTTGCAGACTGCCTATTAGCTATTGCAAATGACAAAGACATTCGGCTCTCTAGAAATGTATATCTGGATTATCTGCCCAGGGGACTAGAATTCTTATCAACTCTTGAGTATAAATTAATAAAAGAAAAAAGCAACAAAGGCATCTGAATTAAAGCCGTCAGTATGATGATATACTGAAAAACAACATTGAAAGAAGGCTTTTAGGTTGCAAAGTCAAGAACTCAAAAGTAGCAAGTGCCAGCTTTCAGATTGCCTTAATTCTACTTCCTTTTGTGTCCATCCTTTGCATTGACTGACACAGAGATCCAGCTGGGGGAGGGAGGAGGATAGTTTGTAATCTTGTAATTAAAGATGGTGTCATAATGCAGACAAAAAAGGGGGCAAATTAAGACTGCCTTGGCAACCAGAAAGCTGGAATTTGAAATAATTGACTTAAATAACATTTGTTTTAACATAGATTGCCATGTGTAACTTCCTTAGTATATAAAAGGAAAAAGTTAAAAACAAACATTATACGTAATTGTAACAATGCCCCTCCCCCTGCCCAATCATACATCACTAGGGTTTAATTCTTGAACCCCCAGTTCTGTAGCAAAGGCTTCTACCATTGGTGGCTCAGGATATTAGGTGACAGCTGAGAAGGTTGTTACCAGAAGGTAGGGGGAACTGCTGGAGCTATAGTGGATGGTTGGAGGACCCAGCCTAGTTCTCACCCCTTTCCTTGGGAGCTGGGGAAAATCTGATGTTCAGGGAGTAGGAGGGATTGGCTACTGGAGCAGTGTGCTGGGTTCAGGGGTGTGACTAGGGAGAGACTAAGCTGGCTCCCCCCCCCCCCCCCCCCCAAAACCCCTTTCTCGCAGTAAATTCCTGCTTTGGCAGATTAAGTGTTCCCAGGAGTGTGAGGTGGTGGTGTCACTTTGGCAGCTATGTAACTCCAGCCATTCAGAATGTTTGTTCAGGTACTATGCTGGCAGACTGCCACAATTTTATTCAGCAACACAACAGAAAGAAGGAAAATGGTGATTTTCAAGAGTTTCTCTCAGCAAAACCAGAGCTGAATTTAATGGGACAAAGAAATGGCACTTTTCTAGCCCAAGAGCCTTCCCCTGCTGTATTTCAAAAGCCAGCTGCAAACAATAGAGGTGTTAGAACCGTCTCAGGTCATCTTAAGAAATGGACTGTGCCCCCGAAAGCTCATGATACCATCTACATCAGTGGTCCCCAATGTAATGCCCGCGGGCGCCATAGCCCCCGCCCAGCCATTTGTGCATGCCTGCCAAACAATCTGGGATGGCCCCGCCCCCGGGCACGTGGCGTGTAGCACAAGCGCAGTGCCGGCCCATAGCACATGGGCGGCCCCTTGCCTGGGGTCACGGCACATGCCGGTGCTGGCCCCAGGTGCGAGACACATGGGTGGCCCCTGCCCTGGGATCGCAGCACGTGCCAGCCCCAGGTGCGAGCCCCGGGGTCGTGGGTTCTAGTCCTGGGTTGGGAGGGATAAAGGATTGCTGGTCCCTCCGGTACTACTCCTTCATCTGCAATGCCCTTAAGTCTTTTCCCCCTCCTTTACAAGGCTTTAATGCCTCCTTTTAATTTCTGGTGGCCAGCTGCCATTTCTGCCAGCGCTGCAGCTACTCTCTTTTTTTTTTCCCTTTCTTTCTAGAAGGAGAGACAGAGAGAACCTTCCTCAACCCTCACTTTTAGTACTAGTTGTCCCAGTCTATAAGAAGTCAAGAAAATTGTGGACTTCTGTGATCTTTTTTCCCTATTAGATAAGAAATGAGATTAATAGTTGTTCTCTGTGCGCAACACTTCTGAAAGAAATCAGGCCACATGGATGCCTTAAGAAAAGTTGAAACAACTTCAACAGGAGGAAGGATAGGTCCTGAAAGGGGCAATCCAAGTCTGCAATTTGACATGCCTCAACCAAGACACGTGGTAAAATCAAATAAACTAAATGATATTACTAGTATTTTGTTTAAAGAACATCTTTGCCATGATAAATTTCAGATAAAGCAGCAAGGAGAAAAAGACTAGTAGGTTTGAGCCTGTAGCCATTGGTCACGTGAGCAGACCCACTTGAGTCTGGCTGCTCACATGAATTAGACCCATGCAGTCAAACTCATCATGCTGAGATCATAAGCTAAGGGATTCATTCAAAATTTGGTCTGTTATAAAGAGGAAAATTTGTTCTCTATTGCTCTAAGTGAACTCTTCAGGACATCAGAGGGGACATGTGACCTTTCATCTAACGGGCTGACGACAGTTAATTATAAATAGATGGATCGTGGTTTTGTTCAAGACAGTGGAGAGCAGTTTCTTATTGTGGCAATGACAGTAAGCTACAAATGAGTTGAGGAAGCCTTCTCTGAAGAGAGTTCCACTTAAGAAAAATTCTTCTATGAAATATACTCAGTTTAAGATGGACAAAGAGATTTAAAATATATTCAACTTGGGACGTAGCAGAAGGGGATAGGGCCTTTTGTAACCTTGCATTCCTCTTTCTTATTTCCTCTGACTAGCCTTTGCTCTCTTTTCTACCTTAACATTAACAAGGTAGAAGGAACAAAAGCTGAAATAGGGAAAGTTCAAATTAAAGAATATTTAGATATCTTAGATGTATTTATTCTATGGTACATCCTTTGCATGAAAATTATTTGAAGCAACCTAACAACCATTAGCAATTATCTTTGAGGACTCATGGAGTAAAGGGGAGGTCTAGAAGAGTGGAAAAGGGCAAATAGAGAATCTTTTTTTTTTTAAATAGGAGAAGAGGACCAGGAGAATTATAGACTACCAGCCTAACTTTGATAGTTAGAAAGATATTGGAACAAATGATTAAATATTGAATTTGTAAGTCCCTAGGGGATAACTGAACTATAAAGATTATCATGCCAAACTGAAGTATGGGAGCCAGTGGTAGGCTCAGTCTCTTGGGCCATTACTTCTGAAGTAACTTGAAAATTTTTCTGCTGTAATTTTCCCATTACATAAGCTAGGCCCATTCGCTGTGCCTAATGTAGATGGTCATCTATTTTGGAAGGATATGAACCTTAAGAAATTAAAAGGTCAGCATCAAAGGTCCAGAGTAGAATAGGAAGCAACTGTCAGTTCTTTCCACGGTGCCAGAATTAGGATAACAATTGTCAAGTCTACACTGGAAAAGAAGAAAAATAAATGATGCGTGTGTGGTGCAGGGCCAGCACACAACATATTGGCACCTGAGGTGGGGAGCTCAGATGATGCCCCCATGCCACCTTTTCTCCTGCCTGCCTGTTATGTATCTTGTGCCTTCCTTCCTCCAGCACAGCACTCCATCATCTCTGTGCATCTAGAGCAGAGAGAATACATATGCCCCAGCAGCAGACACAATTTTCTACACTCTGGATCCTAGTTCGCCTCATGGTAAGGCCAGCCCTAGTGTGGTGGGTGAGGGGAGCAGAAAATACAGTTCACAGGGAATCATTCCTGCAGCAAGGTTTCCTTCCCACCAGTGAGTGAAAAATGAAGAGACAAAAATGTAACAGAGCCAGCACACCAGTGAAAATGAAATATACTAGAGAGAGGGAGATAGCCTCCAGAAATGGATAGCTTCAAAACAGCTAACGGGTAGATTACCTTATGCACTGTTAGTACCAGAAAATTAGGCATATTGCAAATGCAAATTTAGGACAGCAAAATATGCTGAATGCAAGACAACATCCTCAATATTTCTAGGGAAGACGATGCAAAAGCACCACCGTTTGCAGCATGGTTCTCAGCAACTATTACACCCCTAAAGCAACATGCCAGTCTAACAACCTATTGGAGATTTTATGCAGCAGGATGGCTGTAAAGGGAAAAAAGAAGCCATTTAGTGTTCAGTTCCCTCAAACATACCCTTTTTTAATTTCCAGTCAGTTAATCTGCTTCAGGAGTGTTTATTATAATAAGCCTTCATGGAAATGCTTCTGGAGACTATTACTACCTTTGGATTTTTTTATGTACTTTAATTCCCCTTTGTATAATCAACATGCCACTTATACAAGGCCTCAGGAAACAGGGAACATGCAGTATATGGTGATTTTCAGTACCTATTGAACAAGTAGGAAGAGGAAGGTTATGCTGCATAAGCCCACACAATTTAATTGTTTTTAATGGAAAATCAGCAAGAAGCTACTTACACGTACACAGTAGGTCATGCCAGTCTTCACAATGCCCTCTCCACTCTGCACCAGGGGGCTGTCCTGTTTGCTTAGAGAGGCAGACTCAAAGCCCAACAAGACGCAGTCATCTTGAGATTTTGTATTTACATCGAGTTTCTCCGGATCCTGCCGTGGATAAGAAGCAGGCAGGCAGCTTAGTAAACTGATTTCTGGTGAGGTCGGGCTGCCTGGAACTGTAACACACTCTGTGAGTTTAATTCTTGGCACCTCTTTTGTCCCCAGACAGAAGTTTTTTAAACCAGGAAGATTAGATGGATTGGATAATTTAATATTAGCCATTCGGGGTATCAAAGTGCACAAGGTGGTGGAGCTGTCCTGTGTCCCCAAGTTGACATCCTCAATTGGCAAATGAGGTGTTGAGGAAAGAGAAGATGAAGAAGAGCCTTTGATATTTAAAGAACTATTTTGTGTGCCTTCCTCTAATGATGTTATAGAATCATCCCTAAACCTACTGTATTTAGCCCTGTGAAGCATTCCTGGGTGTCTAAAGAGTCCTACATATAGTGCATGTCCACTGAGACTGTGCTGACTGCGTTCTCTCATAGCCTTGGAAGTTCTGTAACTGGATACTGTTGCATAAATTTGCTCTCCTCTTATAGATAAAAGACATGGAAATTAAGCAATTCAAACAATTTTTTAAACTGTTGTTTTTTTTGTCCACTAGTTCACAAGTGTCTTATTTTTCTTAACGAACATAGCTTAAGTCTGTGTGGTCATCCGTAAATCATTCTAAAGGACATACACACAGCTATAACAATGCTACAGCAGTTTAATCTGAAGAGATGCTATCCATACTTAAAATCTCTTCTGCCACAAGCAAGCAAGCAAGCCTCTAAATCGTTCTCAGCTTTGAACACTCACTGTTATAGCCCGCATCATTAACAGTGAATGCCTGGCTGCAGTAAAGGCTAAAAATATATATATTCTACAGAAAGCAGTACAAGATAGCTAGAATCTCAACACCACCTTTAGATTAGCAACAACCCAAAGCGATACCTCACAAGCCCTGTTCTTAGAATTTTGTATTCAGCTGCCCCACTGGAAAGAAATCATGGTTCTGCAATTGCACATTCTTTATTCCCACAATAGGATTTCAAAATCATGCAAAATAATTATCTATATGTCATCAACGGTTCTTAATACAAAGCCTTCTAATTCTTGTCTTTAAAGTAATTCAGCATCGCAATCTCAAAAGATGCTCAATATTTGTATGCTTCAGCACAATTTTACTTCACATCTTCAGACTCATCATCATCATCTTTGTGCAGCTTCCTTGTCAACCCTTGAGCAATCTTTAGCTTTTCCTTGTAAGCCAGGTTACAGCAGAATTTCTTTGTTTAAAATTCCGAAGAGAGTGTTGCTGTTTTTGTGAATGAAGTTTTCTGAATGAATTTCTCTGTGTGCAAGCTAATAAATCTGTGAATGAAGCTGAGAATGGCTATAACTGACTGACAGTCTCAGGGGTGTTTAATTTTCATCCAATCAGAAAAAAGCCTGGTGACTCATACACCATAAATACACTAAAGGAGTAGCCATGAAAAAATGACTTTTTGGGGGGAAAACTTGTTTTTAATGTGTGTAATGAATGGACAAACACATCAGTAGTTACTAAATCCATAGGTCTCAAAGCATAGTAAAAATTCTATTTTGCTATTACGTCTGCAAGGCACCATCAGAAGACTCTATTGTTGAATCTATTGTTCCACTGATATTAGGTCATATGGTACAATTTCTGTGGGAAGATGTGATGCATCTTTCCTAGAAATTGAGGGGTTTTTATTGATTTGTTGGTTCAATATCCGAATTATTATAACATCCTGTGCCTATCAAATTTACTCTAAAGACATGATGCAAACTGCAAAAGGCTAAGCACACAGGAAGCCAGAATCTGAAAAGGCAGTGGCATAAAATAAAATGTAATCTTTTCAAATTAATCTTCAATCTTCAAATTGCTGAAATAATGAACACATCATAGAAACATTTGTTTGCTTACATTCTGTGCATTTGGAAGCAAGCAATACCTGCAACTAGATATTATTTTCATCTTCAGAAAGGATGGTGTTAACATTTCATAAAGTATAGTGGTGACTTCCCTGCAGTGTCTGCCCCAAACACACCAATTTTGACTATTATTGTGATGGAATTTTTACTCCATTTCAAATCTGCTTACACTCAAACTCACTAATGCTAATACAATCATGATGGGAAAGCAACCTATTCATTAAATCGCTACCTCCAATATCACTATATAGCAGTGTTTCCCAATTTTGTTGGCCATAGAACTCTTTTAAACTTGGAAGAATTTCAAGGAACAGGGGGGAAATTTGTCAAGCAAAAACAAAACACACCACCCCACAACACACCAGGGAGTGGACCAGGGAGACCTGGAGGCCAAAATGCAGTCACTCAGAGTGGCAGCAGGGGGAGGGGAAGTGTCTGAAAGCCAGCAGGAAACCAGAGAAGGATCCGGCATCTTTGCTCACCAGATCCTCTCTGTCTCTAGGAGGAGGGAGTGATTGAGTTCTCGCTGAACCCTTACTTTCATTTTGCAGAACCCTAGGGTTCTGTGGAGCACCATTTGGGAAACACTGATGTATGGGATAGGACAAAATAAAGGATCATCTTATTTTATTTCACAAAGCTTTTTAAATATATACTGTCAAACCTGCTTCAAATTCCAGCTTCTCTTGAAGACACGTAGATGGGTCTCTCAACACCAGTCAGCTTAATAGCCATGAATAAAGGGCCTGAGAGCAGAGATTTGCCCAGCTGAACCCTTAAGGGGTATGTCTACACTACAGTGTAAACCTGTGCCTGTGGACTGTGTTTCCAAGACTAAGTTTGAGTGACCAAGGACTCAACCTTTCTTCATTGTATCTCTCATCCATGCTGAAAACTGCAAAATGACAGCAGTCACAGCAGGATTCAGGTACTGACCCACCTGGTAACAGGGGTTAATGACACTGGTCAGACTGATTTGTGTGGCTGGAAGTTGGGTTTGGACTCAAACCTGAGTCAGAGCTGATGCTAATGTGCAGTGTGGACACACCCACACAGACTCAAAAGGTATGAGAATAATACAGTTAGAACTCACTTCCTGCCTCTCTGTTCTATCAGCTGCTTGAGATGCTTTTTTGTCATTAACCTTTTAAGTGAATATTAATTTTAAGATGATGATATTGGGCCTGATTCTTCTCTCCAACCCTTTAGTACCCCCTGAAGGATTCCTAGCTGATAATCTTGTGTACAACAGCAGGAGTGAACAAAATCCTGGTTAAGAGAGAGAGAGAGAGAGAGAGAGAGAGAAGTCAATGCTGTCACCAGGTTACACATCTCTCATCTTATACAGCTTCTGGTGTTAATGCTGAAAATAGATTGAGAGGTAAAATTGAAAGAGCTATATTCTAGTACCAGAGCAATTCTTGCTCCAGGGGACGATTGCTTCATTTAAATCAACACATTTCAGGAGGATTTGTTTTGAAGCCAAACACTAACATAACCTAGCTTAAACAATACATGGGGACTTAAATTTAATAAAGGCTTCGAAGCACTTTCTGCCTTTCGGTGCTAAGAAATTATGAGCACTAACATTTGTTGTACACTTTGAGCAAAGAAACTCTTATAGCATTAATATCTGTCCTTTTAGGTCTTTGATTTGGACACTATTTTAGGATGCTGATGCAAAACTACAGTAACTGTGTTTGCAGCAGTAGTCACACCAGTTTTTTGAAGGATTTCCAGAAAGATAAAGGAGATCTTACAGGACAGATTCTTAGGAGAGTGTAAGGCAGTGTAACTCCATTGATGTCAATGGATCTATATAGATTAACACTCTGGTACTGACCTGTTGAGTTTGCATGAACTGCATAAGCTGGGAGGGGCTATAGTGTTGCTCTGCACTATCAAAGGCCTGCAGAGAGATGCCCAATGAGTAAAATGCCAAGATTTTCTGATTTAACGGGCCCTAATGAACTCTCACTGTACACTAACTTTTCCATTAGGTGTCCCATACATTTCATTCAAAGACAGTAGCAGGCCAGGTTGGATTAATGCACAGACACCCAGGCACAAGTCCCAGCTCCTGGAGTCAAATGGTTCTAATCTTCATGATTGCAGTGAGAATCAGGTAAATGATACCCAGGCACAGCTGGGTATGATGTCTGAGTCTGTAGAGAGCCTGAAACAATAGCTTGGAGCTGGGAACCGCCACATGCACTTCTGCGTAAGGATATTAAGTAGCGTGTAATTCACTAATAGAATAGTCGATGCCTTTTTTCATTGACTATTTGATTAGACGAGAGGGCGGTGCTGCCCCTTTGAAATGCTGTCACGGTGTTTCAAAGGGGCAGCGCCACACAGCGGCTCCCTGCAGCGCTGCCACTTTGAAATTCCACTGTGACATTTCAAAGCATCAGTGCCGCATGGAGCCTGGGGTCCACTTTGAAATACCCTCCACTTTCCCCTCTTGCTGCCTCTAATAGATGCAGTGAAGGAGGAGGGGGGAAGCAACTAGTCAACTGGTTGACTAGTCTTTAACATCCCTACTTCTGTGAGGTGTTAACACCAAGACACTTTGCTCAGGCAGTAGAGTGGGGAGAAAGTCTGCCAAGTCATCTCGGTAGAGGACTCAGGTTTTGGCAGGAAGAGAAATTCCCAACCACTGTGTGAAGAGCACCTAGTTGCAAATGATCACAGATGCCTTAAACAACATCTATGCACTTCCAGTCAGATGACAGGGCCGATGATTGAGCCCTGTTGGTAGTATTCCTCTCTGATTGGCTGTTTTCTTCACTTCCTTGCCTCCTGCGGTGCAGCAGGAAGCAGCCCCTTCACTTGGGAGCTGAAGCTGTTCTCACAGGAGAGGCAAGGGAGAGGGGAGCAGGAGCCTGCAGCTCAAGGCAGCTCCATCGCTTCACCTATAAAAGGGGAAATAAGAACAACCCAGGAAACTACAGACCAGTCAGTTTAACTTCTGTGCCAGGGAAGATAATGATGCAATTAAGGAATTAATCTGCAAACATCTGGAAGATAAGGTGATAGGAAACAGCCAGGATGAATTGTAAATAACAAATCATATCAAACCAATCTGATAACTTTATTTGATAACATATCAAGCCTTGTGGATAAGGGAGAAGTGGTGGATGTCTTAATGCCTTACTAAAATGTAGGTATTTGATATAGTCTCATATGATCTTTTTATCAATGAACTAGGGAAATACAACCTAGTTGGGGCTACTAGAAGGTGGGTGCATAACTAGCTGGATAATCACTCTCAGAGAGCAGTTACTAACAGTTCACAATCTCGCTACAAAGGCAAAACAAGTGGAGTTCCGCAGGGTTCTGGTTTGGGACCGGTTCTGTTCAATATCTTCATCAACAATTTAGATATCGGCATAGAGAGTACGCTTATTAAGTTTGCAGATGATACTAAGCTGGGAGGGGTTGCCACTGCTTTGGAGGTTAGGGTCATAATTCAAAATGACCTGGACAAACTAAAGAAGTGGTCTGAGGTAAACAGAATGAAATTTAATAAGGACGAAAGTAAAGTGCTCCACTTAGGAAGGAACAATCAGTTTCACACATACAGAATGGGAAGTGATTATCTAGGAAGGAGTACAGCAGAAAGGGATCTAGAGGTCTTAGTGGACCACAATCTAACTATGAGTCAACAGTGTGACGCAGTTGCAAAAAAACAAACATGATTCCGGGATGCACTAAAAGGAGTGTTGTGAGCAAGACACGAGAAGTCATTTTTCTGCTCTACTCTGTGCTGATTAGGCCTTAATTGGAGTATTGTATCCAGTTCCGGGTGCCACATTTCAAGACAGATGTGGAGAAATTGGAGAAGTTCCAGAGAAGAGCAACAAAAATTATGCAAGTTCTAGAAAACATGACCCATGAGGGAAGACTAAAAGAATGGGGCTTGTTTAGTTTAGAAAAGAGAAGACTGGGAGGGGACGTGATAGCACTTTTCAAGGATCTAAAAGGGTGTCACAAGGAGGAGGAAAAAAAATTGTTCTCCTTGGCCTGTGATGATAGGACAAGAAGCAATGGGCTTAGGTTACAGCAAGGGAGGTTTAAGTTGGACACTAGAAAAAACTTCCTATCATAGTGGTTAAGCACTGAAATAAGTTGCCTAGGGAGGTTGTGGAATTTCCATCTCTGGAGATATTTAAGAGCAGGTTATACAGACATCTATCAGGGATGATTTAGATGGTGCTTGGTCCTGCCGTGAGGGCAGGGGACTGAACTTGATGATCTCTTGAGGTCCCTTCCAGTTGTAGTGTTCTGTTATTCTATCTCCTCTTCCCTCCTTCAAGAAAAGGGCGGGGTTCTCTGCTACTCCCCACTTTGGAGGTAGCAGAATTGATGGAGGATGAGGAGGTAAGCAGGTGTGAAGTTACTTCCATTTCTATAGAAATGGATAGATTCCTCCCCAC